AGCATCTCAAAGGAATCATTTTTACCATTTGTGATATCAGGATCATCTTCAAGCATTGGATGGTGGTGGAAAAGCTGGTGCTTTGCAAAGGCAGGAAAGATGGCAGAAAAACTGTCATCCTGGTGCCGGAAGGGTTTGCTGCTCCATCTTGTGGAGGAGGGGACAAAAAGAAGAAACTGGTGTGAGGAATCATTATTGCTATGTTTGCAAATGACTGATATGGATATGAAGACTGGCAACATGGTGCCAGGAATGTGCACTGTTATATCTTGTGAAAGATGGTTAGATGCAGGGAAACTGGCATCTCAGTAGGGAAAACTTGCTGCTACATTTGTGAAAGAGGTATAGAAGGAAGAGAAACTGGCATCCCGGTGCCAGAAAATTTTGCTTCTACAAATTGCAAAGGAGAGATAGTAGAAAAATAAAGTAGCAACCCGGTGACAATAAGTTTTTGTATTTTTGGAGAAAATGGTTGATGGCAGAAGCTGCCAATCCAGTGCCAAAAGAGTAAACTGCTGTACTTTGCAAAGGAAGATCAGGGAAGAAAGAACCTGGTATTGCAGTGAAAAAAGTTTTGTTTTGCATTTGCAAATGAGGAATAGAGAAAGAGAGCCTGACATTCGTTTTGACATTCTTTATGACATCCTAGTGCCAAAAGGAATGTCTGCTGCTTAGAATATGTGGGCTAGATGTGGAGAAACTGGCAACCCAGTGGTAGAAAAACTTGCTTCTGCATTTTGCAAATGAGAAACTGGCATTCCGGTGTCAGGAAGTCTGCATATTGCAAAAATGACATCCTAAAGGCAGAAGAGTTCCCTGCTGCTTTTTGTAATGATAGATGCAGAAAAGCTTGTTGCTGCATTTTCAAATAAGGGATAGAGAAAGAATCTGGCATCCCTGCACCGAAAGGGTTCACTATGAAGGACCAATGTGGAAAAACATGCATACCAGTGGCACGAAATTTGCTGCTGCATATGCAAAGGAGGGATAGAGAAAGAACCGGACATCACAGTGCCAGAAGGGTTCACATCTGCTTTTTCCAACGATAGGTGCAGAGAGACTGGCAACTCGGTGCCAAAAGCATGCTGCTGCATTTGTAGAAGATGAGCTTGTTTTTTTTTT